GGGGGGGAGAGAGGGGACCGCCGCCAGACTTCTTTCCGAGGCGAAACGCCAGGATAGGAGGGGTGTACCGTGAAAGTGAGAAGGCGCTGCCTGGTTCTCGCGGATCACCAGCGAGCAGATCCCATTCCCGAGGCTGGGAAGGATCCCAACAAACCCTTGGGAGATTCTCAGCCCCTACCCCACCTTTCCCATACTCCCAGATGGCCAGGAAGCTTTAAAAAGCCGGGAGAGGAAAATAAAGATTTGTTTCCCAGAGTCCTGCGCTGCTTTTGCAAGTCGGATTCCAGCAGACACAATCTGCAGCCCGATAATGACACAGTCTTTGGAAGGAGTGACTGCTCTCGCCACGCTCGCTCAGAGTTCTGGGGACGCCTGGCTGCCTGCTCCCGACCGGCCAGCGTCCGACCCTGGCCCGGGGGGCAGACCAGCGACGCCTTTGCCCGGGGCCCCCCTTCCCACCATCGGCCCGAGGTGATCTGCAAACATTTCCTGCTCCCACCCCCACCCCCACCAAGAGCTTCCCAGTTGGAGAGACTTAGTCTCGAAGCCAGGTCAGCGCTCGCACTTGTCCCAACTCAGCTCCGGCCACATAGGGCTGGGGGTGGCTCTCAAGCAAGCACCAGGGAAACCTCAGGCGCCAGGAGCTCTGGGTGGTCGCTCCGCACGCCTGGGGCTCCGACCAGGAGGGGGGACAATTGGCAGAGTGCCCCTAGTCCTGCTCCCTTCCCCGTCATTACCTGCTCGCTTGCGGGGGTGTCCCGGGGCGTCCGGTCTCTCCCGGCGCTGTCTCCCCACGCAGTTGCCCATGCTGGCTCCTCAGTCAGGCCCCATTCACCAAAGGCGGCAGGGTGGACGGCTGCTCTGTGCTCCTGCCCGGACGGCGGCGTCCCGGGTCAACGGCTCCTGCCGCCGGGCATCGGGCACTCCCCAGTCTTCCCCCTGGGGGCGCGCTCTGCCCCGGCGTCGGCTTCGCCACAAACTTTGCGGGCGAGGGGAGAGTGGGAGGTGGCCGACTCCCCAGCACAGTCCCAGGTGGCCGGGCCAGGGGGGCCCGCGACGGTGCCCGGCCCGAGACCAGCTCCGCTGGAGAGGCGGAGAGAGGGGGCGGGCACCGCTGCAGTTACTCTGGGCTCGCTCGGGGCTCCCAGCTGAGGCCGTCCCCCCGGAGCCTGTCACTCACCTGCCTAACCCCGCCCCAGCCCGGCCCCGCTCCCTTCCTCCAGCTCGCGGTGCCCTGGTTGCCGCCGCCCGCCCCAGGTGAACATGTGACCGACGGCACCGCCCCCTTGGGCCGGACCTGATTTTCTCATTGGCTTTCCCCAGGGAGCGTACCGCCCCCTCGGCCCCACCCAGCCAGGTACCCGCCCTGTGTCTCGTCTCCCAGGGAGCCGAGCCGAGAATTATTAGTCCTCAATGGCTCCCGCCTGCGTACTCAGCCACTGCCTTCCCTCTCCGAGCCACCGCCCCATCGCAGGCCCCGCCCCCTAGGGAGGGGACATCTCATCCCTCCTTGGAACTGCTTGGCAAGAAGCCGGCAGGCACGTGATCCAAGAATGTCCCGCCCCCTTCGCTTTAGCCTGGTGATTGGCTCACAAGGCGCAGGCGCAAAAAGACCTGTCTTGTGCCACCGCCTACTTCACCTCCCACGGTCTCTAGTTCGCGTCATGGCGGCCGCCGCCGCTCTGGAGGCGGTAGTGCCTAAGGGTGCTCTGTGGGGCCTCGTGCACGACTTCGTCATGGGTCAGCAGGAGGGTCCCGCTGACCAGGTGGCTGCAGGTACGGCAGACAGTACCACACGACTTCCGTATAGGGGCCAACTGGAAGGAGCGGCCTCAACATAGACGCAGGGCGGGAAGGGAGTGAGGAACAGAGGTGACTGAGAAGCGGGTTGGTGAGCAATGTGTGCTTATGAGCCATAACAAAATTTGAGAGTCTCTTACAACCTTCTCGCATTATCTCCCCCGCGGCGGTAATAGGATAATCGTTACCATTTCACAGATGAAGAAACGGAGGCTCAGCCAGTGGAAAAGCCTCGTGCAGGGCACAGGTTAGGCAGGCGGGGGAACTGGGACACGGACCTGGATCTTCCAATGCGAAATAAGCTGCTCACGCCACGAAACCACGTCGTGTCTGGGAGGTTGACGTGAGACTATGCTTGTACAGCGACATCAGGGCGGTCGCGTGGGATCTTGGGAGCAGCCAGCGGCGCCCTTTTCTGACTGGCTATAATTGACGAGGGGAGGAGAGAAACCGGGTTATGAGGTTACCAGTTACCTCCGTTTCTTGGTTAATTTTGCCGCCGACTTTGTAACATTTGTTTTGTGTTTTCCTTTTGACCTGTTCAGGGATCTCAAAATTCTAGGATTTGTTACAGTAATAGGATACAAAATTGTCGTGGATACAGATGAATTTGTTAAGTATTTTTGGAAATTTTACATGCTTTGGTGTTAGGTGCCGTCTAGTAGGCTCCCACTCATAGCGACCCCACGTACAACAGAACGGCAACACTGTCAGGTGATACACCATCCTGACAGTTGTTCTGCATAAGTCCATTGCTGCCTCCGTCCCAATCTGTCTCGTTGGCGGTCTTCCTGTTTTTCGCTGATCCTCCACTTTAACCGAGCATGATGTCTTTCTCCAGGGACTGGTCCCTCCTGGTAATATGCCTGAAGTATGAGAGACAAAGTCTCGCCATCCTAGCTTCTAAGGAACATTCTGACTGTACTGCTTCCAACATAAATTTGTTTGCTCTTGCAGCCCATGGTACTTTGAATTGTCTCCAACACCTAACTCAAATGCATCAATTCTTATATAGTCTTTCTTATTCATTGTGCAACTTTCACATGCATATGAGGTGATTGAAAACACCATGACTTGGGTCAGGTGCATCATAGTCCTCAAACTGCTATCTTTTCTCTTGAACACTTTAAGGCTTATTGTGCAGCAGATTTGCTTAATGCAATATGCCATTTTACTTCTTGGCTGCTGCTTTAGGAGTGTTGATCGTGGCTCCAAGCAAAATGAAGTCTCTGACAGTTTCAATCTTTTCTCTGTTTATCATGCTGCTATTTATTGGTACATTCGTAAGGATTTTGGTTTTCTTTACATTGAGGCACAATCCATACTGAAGGCTGTGGTCTTTGATCTTCGTCAGTAAGTATTTTAAGTCTTCTTTGCTTTCAGCAAGCACAGTTGTATCATCTTCATATCACAAGTTGTGAGACAAGAGTCTTCCTTCAATCCTGATGCCACATTTTTCTTCATATAATACAGTTTCTCAGATTATCTTCTCAGTATACAGATTAAATAAGTATAGTGAAAGGATACAGCCCTGGTGCATAACTTTCCTGATGTAACATGCTTGGGAAGGAGTAAGGGACATTAGCTTTCTCTTGAATATGGAACATATTAACTTTTAGAAAATAATGAGAAATGAATAAAGTGCATATGCTAGAAATAGAATATTTGGATTGCACCTTTGCAACTTTCATTTAAACATTCCACCATTTTTAACACATTTTTAACCAAAAATTACATAAAACAATAGGAATATAAATGTAAACTAGATCTGTATCTTCAGGAACTTAGATTGTGGTGGAAGAGATGCCACATAAACAGATTAAATACAATAGACATGAAAAGGACTATAAGAAATATAAAAGGGCTTCAAAAAGTTTGTGGAAATATCCCATTATCTTTCAAGTCTATTTCCATGAAATTAACGAAGCCCCCTCGTTTGTTCCAGCACTATGGAAGCTTCAGTAGTAAGTAAATGTCCAGTGCTGCTATTCCTCTCCTCTTGGTTTATTAAAAGATTAATAGACCCAGAAATCCTCTGTTACTATGAGTTGGAATCATCTTTCTCCTGAGGAGTGGCTGCTGGGTTTTAATGCTGACCTTGCTGCTAGCAGGCCAACCCTTAACCCACTATGCCACCAGTACTTCCATAAATACTTCAGCATGCATATCATTAACTAGAGTTCAGTATTGTTTACAGTTTTTTCTATTGGTGTAAAATTTATACCAATTAAGTATACAAATTTTAAGGATACTTTTGTTCATGCCAACAAATATACTTGTGTACTCCAAGCCCCTGCCCTATAAAGATATACAGTGGGGCTTTAAAAAGTTTGTGAAAATTTGAATTTAAAAAAAATGAAATTTTTCCACGTACTTTTTCAAGCCCCCTCATAGAAACTGACTTCATCAGTGTCATTGTTAGTCTTCTTTCACATTTATACATTATGAAAACATCTGGATGCTTTTCAGATTCAGAACACACTTTGAGAAGACAACTTGATAAAAACTGTGACATTCTTATAAATGTGTGTATAACTTATCTTTTTTATTTATGCTTGTAAAAAGATGACCTAAATTATTGTCTGGTTTAAATTGAAATCAGATCAGCTTAGACTCTGTAAATGTTGTTGTTATTGTTAAGTGCCATCGAGTAAGTTTTGTATAGGGTTTGAGTGTCATAAGAGTTGGTTCCTACTCATATTGACCTTGTGTAGGGTTTCCAAGGAGTGGTTGGTGAGCTTGAACCACCAGCCTTACAGTTCAAACTGACCTTGCATCCACTGCATTAACCCACAGCACCACACCAGGACTCCTCCTTTACTAAGCCTTAACTTTAGTAAAATTGTTAGCCACATCTACTGCCTTTCCAAATACTAAATGCAGAAGGAACACCCTCTGATCACCTAGGCAGCTACTACCAACTTTGTTTTGCACCTGTGTACCTGGTGAAAGGACTCCCGGTGTGGCGCTGTAGGATCAGCACTGGACTGTGAGCAACCAGCTGCTCCTTGGAAATCTTATACAGGTTCTCTATGAGTCAAACACCACCACCTGGTGAAAGCAAGCATCAAATGTCAAGAGGTACAAATGATGAAAGGGAAATGGCCTGCTCTGGCATTCAAAGACTGCCACTACTTGGTCCCCAGACTTTACTCTTTATACTTCTCTCTTGAACCTTTAGTTCCAGTCAGCCACTGACACTCTATTCCGCGTGTTTTCCTTCCCATCTCTCTCCACTGGTCGTGGTGGTGGCTATGTGCCGTGGAGTCAATTCCGACTCAGCAACCCTGTATAGGGTTTCCAAGGCTGTAAATTTTTACAGGAGCAGAAAGCCTCATTTTTCTCCTGCAGAACAGCTGGTAATTTTGAGGTGCTGACCTTGCGGTTAGCAACCCAATTCATAACCTCTACGTTACCAGAGCTCCTTCTCCCTCCATTGTTGTTGTTGTTAAGTGCCATCCAGTCGGTTCCGACCCATAGCGACCCTGAACAGGATTTCCAAGGCTGTAAATCTTTACGGGAGTAGACACCTCATCTTTCTCCTGCGGAGCGGCTGATAGTTTCAAACTGCTGATTTTGCAGTTCGCAGCCAATTCGTAAGCACTACACTACCAGAGCTTCTTTCTCCTTCCATTGTTGTTGTTTTGTTGTTAAGTGCCATCGAGTGGTCTAATTAAAAATTAGATTCAGAATTCAACACCCAGCTTCTATGTACTCCCCACAAACCCCAAGCGTTTCCTGATTACTGCAGTGAGACATCATGTAGTACCCCTCAATTGCTCATATCCTTATTGGAGTCCTGGTGTGGTGCTATAGGACAAGCACTGGACATGGTCAATTTGAATCATAGGGTTGGCAGTTCAAACTCACCAGCTGCTCCTTGGAAACCCTATACAGGGTCACTATGAGTCAGAATTGACTTGATGGCACTTAATAATATATCCTAATTAGCAGGCTTGTTTCTTAGTCATTTCTGTACACATCATAGTCTATTCTCCCATGCCACAGGTCTCCTGGAAATTAGCATAAATAGGTATGCAGTAAAAACTCCTAAAGGAGTGAACTGGGAGATGTTGAAGGAAGAAGGAAGAATCTGTGGGATTCAGGTTCTGATTAATAGAGGACTTGCAGGAGAGGGAGGACTCCAAGACAACCTTAAGGTTTTGAGCCTGAGGTGAAGGAGAAAAGCTCTGTCCAAAAAATAGGGAGGGAACTGATTTCAGATGGTGTGGATTTAGACATGTTGGATTTGTAAGTGATTAATAAAAGATTCTTCCTCTTAGTTATTCAGATTTTACTTCACTGTAATAGTTTGTATTTTCCCACGGTTGTAATTCCCTGAGGAGGCCACTATTCCGAAAAGGAACAGATTGTTAAAGCACAGTGAAACACAGTTCTGAGATATGTCTGTGGCATCCTCAGCAGAAAAGGCATCTTGAGAGCTTGGTTGGAACCGAATCCTGGTTGTGATTTTTTTTCTCTCTCCTGCTCTTCATAACCACTGCCCCCTTGGCTACTATTCCAGGTTCTTGAGAGGCTGAAGCTCCATTAGACAGAGGTCCCATTGTGCACGCTAAGTTAGTGCTTATATGAATACTTCTTTGACTCCGCCTTAGTGCCCCACATGAACTGGTATCCTGCTGAGGAAAGTATGAGTAGTTAGAGGGGCTAGTAGGCCCATTTTCAGAAAGCATATCCTCTGAACACATTGGAAAAAGTTAAACCTGCTTATGGGTCCTGGTATGCCCATAGGATAAGCACTGGAATGCTAACCACAAGGTTGGCAGTTCAAACCTACCAGCTGCATCTCGGAAACCCTATATAGGTTCACAATGAGTCGGAACAGATTAGACGACACTAAAGAGCAACATGTAGAATTTCCACTTAATTTTGTCATAAATGCTGCCAGAGCGGAATTGTAGACCATGCATAGAAGGCCTGTCCTTAGGGAAATTAACCTTTTCAGTTTCTTTCAT